GAACACTGAGGCCCAGAGAGGCAGAGTGAGGTGCCCAGGTTGCATATGAGTCTACAGCTGCTGGTGGAACCATATACTAAGAAGAGGAAAATCAGAGGACAGACTACAAGACAGCCCCAGTAATCCCTGCCTCCTGGTATCCGTGGGTAATGTCCTCTTCTTGAGTGCAGGCAAGGCCTCATGACTCAGTTCTAACAGCAGAGTAAGACCAAGGTGGTGAGTGTCACTTTCAAGATTTATTTACAGAACATTTAGTTTTCCATCTTGCTCCCATGGCATGCGTTCTCTCTTTCTATCTATCATCTATCTATCATCTACTTATTTATCTATCTATCTTTCTTCCTCATCCTCTCCCTCTCCCTTTCTCTCTTCCTCTATCTCTTTCTCTGGTAAAACCAGCTGCCACATTGGGAGCTGCCCCGTGGAAAGACCCATGTGGTGAGGACCTGCCTAGTGAACAGCCAGGGAGAAACTGAGTCCTGCCAACAACACCTGAGTAGACTTGGGAATGTACCTTTCCCTCATTAAGCCCTCAGCTAACACTGTGGCCCATTAGAGACCCTGAAGCAAAGAAAGCAGAGATGCTATAAAATCTCTGACCACAAAATCTCTGAGATCATAACTATTTGCTGTTATTTTAGGTCCTTATATTTGGAACAATTTGTTGCCCAGTCATAAATCGCTAATACAACAGATTTGGTGAGAGATTAAGAGGTGAATCAGGAGTTCTAGTGTTTGCCCGATTGAAATATGATTGTAATAGATGTCTGCCTTGGGTTGGCTTCCCTGAACTGCAGAGCCTATGATAAAGATTGATTGCAGGTACGTATTCAGAAGTGGGTCTAGAAAGCATGAGTAGAGAAGAAGGGATGTGAGATAGGGTGGTGTAGGCAGCAGAGTGAGAGTTTGAATGAACAATTTCTGCAGTGAGCACCTGGGACTCAATCTCTCCAGTGATCTCTGAGAGAGTGTCAAACACCGTTGAGGAGTGTTCGAGCTGGGGTATTGATCCACCAAAAGTGATGGAGGGTCATTCTCACGAGTGCTAACTCCCTATCAATTCTGACCTGGGGCCACATGGGCCATAGAAATCCCCAGGCAGAGCATCTCAAGTGTTCACCAGGGCAGGGACTATGGTAAACCTAAAGAGGAGCAAAAATTAATTATTCCCTTGACTTCTGTTCTAAAATCTCTTGGCACATTGCTTGACAGATCCTGTCTTAATTTAACATTTTGCTATTTATATCATCATGCATGTTTTGCATTAGTTTTGATTTTTGTTAAGACTGCATTCAAATAAGAGTCATCTTTTGACTATTGAGTTTTGCTTCTGAAGCAAGTGCCTCATTTCTCACCATCGTCCTAGCACTCAGTTCCATGGCTGAGGGCATCAGCATACACGGGAGAGGACATGGGTGTGAGCTGACACAACTGAGTCAGGGCAGGCTCAGTTGTGCTCTAGTAATAAACAAACCCCAAAACTCAAGGGTTTAAATAATCAGAGGGTTTTTCTCACCTGGCCACTGTCTGAGCACAAAAGTAAAGAATGTTATATGTGGCCACTCTTAGCCTTCTGCCCAGGATTTTTTTAATGTGATGAAATACATGTAACATTGAAATTACCATTTAACCATTATTTAGGTGGGCAGTTCAGTGACATTAAGTACATTCCTATGCAGCTATCATCACCGTTCAGCTCTAGACTTTCTCATCTTCACAAACTGGAACTCGGTCCCCATTAAACCTTCATTCCTCTTCCACCTCCACTAGCCTGAGGCACCCACCCTTATAACTCTGGTCTCTGAGTTTAATTTCTGTTGGGACCTTAAAAAAGTGGAATCAGCCAAAACCGGTTTGGCTCAGTGGTAGAGCGTCTGTCTGTGGACTGAAAGGTCCCAGTTTTGATTCCGGTCAAGGGCATGTACCTTGGTTGAGGGCACTTCCCATTGGGGGCTGTGCAAGAGGCAGCTGGTCGATGTTTCTCTCTCATCGGCATTTCTAGCTCCCCATCTCTCTCCCTTCCTCTCTGTAAAATATCAATAAAATATATTTTTTTAAAGTGGAATCATACAGTTTTTGTCTTTTTCTGACTAGTTTATTTCACTCCACATAATATCTGTTGTAGCACATGTCAAAATTCTTTTCTTTTTTTTGAAAAATTTTAAGCAGTAAAAAACACATAGGATTTACCATTTTAACAATTTTTGAAGTGTAGTTCAGTGCTGTTAAGTATATTCACATTATTGTGCACCAACCTCCAAAACTTTTTTATTTTGCAAAACCTAAACTCTACACCCATTAAACATCAGCTCCTCATGCTCCCCCCCCCCATGCCTGACAACCACCAGTGTATTTTCTGTTTCTATGCATTTACTTCAGATATGTCGTGTAAGTGAAATCATGCACTATTTGTCCTTTTGTGACTGGCTTCTTTCACTCAGCATAATGTCAGCAACTTTATTCTCTCAAATACTTATTTCTCTGTTGTTATGCATTTCAAGAGGTGAATCAGAAGTTCTAGTGTTTGCCCGGTTGAAATAAGATTATAATAGATGTCTGCCTTGGGCTGACTTCCCTGAACTGCAGGGCCTACGATAAAGATTGATTGCAGGTACATTTTTAGAAGTTGATCTAGAAAACATGAGTAGAGAAGAAGGGATGTGAGATAGGGTGGTGTAGGCAGCAGAGTGAGAGTTTGAATGAACAATTTCTGCAGTGAGCACCTGGGGCTCAATCTCTCCAGTGACCTCTGAGAGAGTGTTGAACACACCATTGAGGAGTTAGGGAGCTGGGTATTGATCCACCAAAAGTGATGGAGAGTCATTCCCACGGATACTAACTTCCTATCAATTCTGACCTGAGGCCATGTGGGCCATAGAAATCCCAGGCAGAGTATTTCAAATGCCACCTTCTTCCATCAGGACCCCACCCCCAACAAATAAAAGTGTCAGATTGGAAGTCATCACGAATATGTTAAGGGCAGGTCAATAAAAAGAGAAGCCACGATTATATGAGGATGACAAAACAGATGGTATCAGGAAAGCAACAGCTCTCTACCTCTGTTAGTCAATGAGCTAAGTCCCTGGACAGGAGATACCTGGAAGAAGAAAGTTTTACTTTTTGAGCCTAGAAATGGCAAGCTGGATACAAGTGACAAAAGGGTGGTGTTTATGTTTGTAAGGGCCTGATCATCGAGTGTAGAATTTCCACATCTGCTCATTAAACATATTTGTACTCTCACTTTCTTCCCTAAGATCTTGAGCTTTTGAGGGTGGATGCAGAAATAAAACTGTACTGAATTAAAATTTAAACAAATGGCGGTATACTTGCAGATATGGCCGAATTCTTAGTCTGTTTCCATATCTTACCAATGTGACCATGAGCTCGTCCCTGCCAGAGCTGTAGTCTTCTTCTGCACCTTTCAATCTTGGTTGGACTTGGGATATTTCAGTTGTTTTGGCCAATAAAATATGGTAGAAGTGACAGTGCATTTTACCAGGTCTTGGTGCATTTCCACTGCTCTCACTCAGAATCCTGGCTGAGGACTGAGCCATGTGAACAAATCCTGGGTGCCTTCCAGAGAAGGAGAGAACATGCGGACAGAGCTTATTTATTCCAGCCAAGCCTCCCTAGGTCAGTCACCATAGCTGAGCCCCTATTACATTAGAAAGCCCAGCCCAGCTCAGCAGAGACACCCCAACTGACTACAGACTCATGAAGAAATCAGTAGAGAATAGAACACCCACCCCACCATACAAACCCATTAGAAAATAAAGGAATTATATTAAACCATTTGCCTTTATGGTGGCTTGTATATAGCAATAATGAATTTATCCCATAATCAAAGAGAACAGAACTGAGGGAAATTATAGTAATTTACTACTTCTTACTTTTGGCGTTTGTACTGATAGTTGAGGACAGCATTCACAATCATTCTGTTATTTAAATGCATTTCAGATAGCTGTATGTAAGTGCCTCCACAGAGGCTCCCTTCCAGGTAATCAGGACAGAGTGGAAGGACATGCATGTTTGTGCAGGAAATGTGTGATGCTTATTCACATGACTGGGCATGATTTTAACTCCTGTGTGATTCATCCTTTGGTAATAAAGATTGAAAATATTCCTCAGTATAGAGGAGATATATATATTGTATGATACTGAGATTGTTCACTCCTTTTGGTGGATTTGAAAATGTTTAGAAAAGGAGAGATATTAGCTTAGAGCACTAGAAGGAGGCACTTTTGTAGGGAGCATACTGAATGTTTTTCATCAGAAACAGGAAAATCGTTCAGAAAAAGCACATAAAACACTTCAGGTAACTTTTTACCCCAATAAATAAGGACCCTTCCCATAGACATTATATCCACACTTTAACAAGTAGATGTATGCCAAGGAAAAACTTTTGAGTAGTAATAAGTTGTATGTTTATTTTTGCTTCATCGTATTTAAGAACACTTAAAACTCTAAACAAATTAGATCAGTCTATTTATTAACATTTACATTTATGTAGACAATTCTTAGAAACATGAGTTAAATAGTCAATTTTTGCCAGTGGCTATGAAAAGCATGGGGACACACAGCTTAATGAAGACTATAAAGCCAGGAGATGAGCTAGAAAACATATTAGCATGTTAAAGTCTACATTATCAAGGATAACAATAATGATAGTGCTATAGAAAATGGTGATGAACATATAAGTGAAAACTGGGGTCTCGGATTTTCCCGTACAATAAAATTATTCAAATGCCCTTACTATCCAAGTGCATTTTGTCCATAGGAATAGGATAATTCATGACTATTCTTTGAGGAAAACAATAGAAAATTACTTGGAATGATATATGTCATAAAAGAATAGATTATGCTAAAGTAGTTCATGTTAACTCATCAGATAAATGAGAATTATGTATGTGCCAAAGATTGGCTTTATTCGTGTCAGATCCGAGGCTCCGAGGCTTTGAACCCTGCTTTCATGGGCACTTCTTCAGACGGCTGCAGTTAGTTTACCTGCCAAAGAATCTTTCCAGGGCCCTCTTTATGTCATTGTTCCTCAGACTGTAGATGAAGGGGTTCAGCATGGGTGTGACCACGGTGTACATCACCGAGGCTGCTGCACTTGAGTGTGAGCTCTGGGAAGCAGCAGAGCTGAGGTAAACACCTAGGACTGAACCATAATATAAGGTGACAACTAAGAGGTGAGATGTACAGGTGGAAAATGCCTTATACTTCCCCTGAGCTGATGGGATTGCACGTATGGAGAAAATGATCCTAGAGTAGGAGTAAAAGATTCCAGCAAGGGGTCCACAGCCCAGCAACAGAGTTAAAAAATAAATCATAATGTTGTTAAGAAAAGTGTCAGAACAGGCAAGTTGGAGTACCCGATTGAGTTCACAGAAAAACTGGGGGATTTCCAAGTCTGAGCAGAAGCGCAGACCCAAAATCATTAAGTTGTGTAATAAGGAATGTAGGGCACTCATGATCCAGCACACCAGAACTAGCCATCCACAGAGCTGGGGGTTCATGATGACCATGTAGTGCAGGGGGTGGCAGATGGCCACAAACCGGTCATAGGCCATCACGGTCAGGATAAAGTTGTCCAACACTGCAAAGAGGATATAAAAATATATCTGAGCGATACAACCTTCATAGGTGATGACTTTGCTCTGTGTCTGGATGTTCCACAGCATCTTTGGGACGGTGGTGGAGGTGAAACAGATATCTACCAAGGACAGGTTGGAGAGGAAGAAGTACATAGGCATGTGGAGGTGGGAGTCTGAGCTGACAGCCAGGATGATGAGCAGGTTTCCAAACAAAATGATCAGGTACATGGAGAGGAAAAGCCCAAATATGAGAGGCTGCAGTTCCAGTGCCTGTGAAAGTCCCAGAAGAATAAATTCTGAAACTTCTGTGCCATTGTCTGGTTCCATGTGTCAGAGGTGACTGCCAAAAAAAGAAAGAAAAAAGAGAGAGAGAGAGAGAGAGAGAGAGAGAGAGAGAGAGAGAGAGAGAGAGAGAGAGAGAGAGAGAAAGAAAGAAAGAAAGAAAGAAAGAAAGAAAGAAAGAAAGAAAGAAGAAAGAAAAGAAAGAAAGAAAGAATTAGAGAGAAAGGAAAAATTGAATAACTAATTTTCACATTAGCAAGCATTAGTAACTGAGAATAAATGACATATTTGCATTTTTGGAATCATTAACAGTAATTTCTATATTTGGTATATGATCTAGTTCCCATTAAGTAATCTCTATTGCCATTTCCCATTAAAATTCCTTTTTTACCATTAATCAATTCTTCAAACATAATGCATATTGCTGTTTTAATGAGGATATCTTTCATTCACTTGAAGTATCTATAGGGTGTCCCAAAAAAATGTAACTCACACTTTGAATAATAATAAAGGTAGTATTTATTAAAATGCATTCAATTTATAAAATTCAGCTATCATATTGCACAATGTGTATACATTTTTGGGGGTGTAGGGACATCCTTATCTTGACTATAGACCATGCTCCAGGCATTGTTCACAATATGCAATGCTAAAAAAGAAAAGTCTTTATAAACTAATGACAAAAAAATAATCAAATAAAAATGATAATATTACATATCCAATGCTGAAGATGCTATAAAGAAAAGTAAATCACATTAAATGAAGATAATGCATAGACTGTTCATTTTTACAGAGTTTAGCCAAGACCTGCCAACAGATGACAATTAAACAGACATCTCAGTGAAGAATAAGCAGGAGACTAAGAGGGATGTTCTTGGCAGACAAAAGGATCAGCCAGCGGCCCTGAGGAAGATGCTTGTTTTAGAAAATCAATGCTCAAAATGACCCAGTATATCTGGGGGGGTGAGCAAGGCAGAGCAGGGTGAGAGACGGTGTCAGAAAACAGTAAAAAAACAAGGTAGCCTGCATGTTGCTGTTGAAACTTCAAGTCATAGAAGGTGCCTTGTGCACACTAGGTAAATGTTGCACTTTATTAATCTGGTTGCAAAAGCATCCAGTGAATCTAAAAGGATCTCCTCCTTGTTACCTTCTCTTAATTTTAGAGTCGCATCTATATTTATAAAAGTCTACATGACCTTTTGATCATTCAATTGGTCACTATGATGTGCACTGACCACCAAGGAGCTATCGCTCAATGCAGGAGCTGTCCCCTGGTGGTCAGTGCGTTCCCACAGAGGGAGCACTGCTCAGCTGACCAACAAGTGCCAGATGCAGGGCTTAAGGCTGGCCACCACAGCCCAGAGACTGCAGCGGAGCAGCAGCAAGGCTACCAAGTGGCAGTGGCAGGCACAGCAAAGCCAGGATGAGCAGGAGAAGCAGGCAAGAGCAGCAAGCAGTGTTGGAATGCTGGTTTCAGCCCATTCCCCACAGGCCACACCAAGGGACTTCACCAGTGCACGAATTTGTGCACTGGACCTCTAGTTGGAATATATGAGTCCAGGTACTTTTGCTCAGAGGACTGCACAGTTTTTAAGCCAAACAACACAACACACCAGGGCCCCTTCATCTGTTATGTCCATGTTCTTCTCCCTCCCTCCTGCACTATGTAGGCTATGAGTAGATACATTGAACTACCAGATTGTATAGTGTTTATACATTTTTGGGGGGACATCCTGTATGTTGACTATAGACCATGTTCCAGATTAAGTCTACATCAAGTATCTTTTCTTAAAAGAATTTAGAAATAGTACCTAGATGTTCATATTAGAAGTCTCCCAAGGACAAATATGCTTGAGACTTCATACTGCTATTCCCATTTTTCTGCCCTATATTTAAAGAAATATTAACAACAGGTGAAATAAACATAGTGGGAAAGACAGAAATAAAATGCACATGAGGAACAAAAGAGATCTAATGAGCTCTGGTGGTCCCTGAGAGATGATGAGGAAGCAAAATCTTTGGATTCTAGCAGCTTTCCAACCTTAATAACACCCCCTTGAGGCCAAGCAAAAATAGAAAAGGAGAAAAAATAAATTTCTCCAAAAGATAGAAGTAGTTATAAATATATGGTATGAAACACCTTACAGATTGATTATGCAAAGTAAAAAACCAAAATAATAAACCAATACAAAGGGAAATATACAAAAACAACACAGGTTAAATATTTTTAACATCAAGCAGAAGAAGACTAGTTTTCCTGTGCCTCTTCTATATTTACTTGACCAGTTAGTTTTTAAATGGTTGATGGCATCATTGTTTTCCTTGGACTTTGGGTTTTGATCTCATTTTTGACAAATCAAGGGGCACAATCTAATTCTGATTCTGGTATTCTTCCAATGTGTGAAGGCTTCCCAGGACATGAGCAATACATGCTGTACACACAATGAGAAGCCATCCTTCAACAGTGAGTAACTTTGTTCATACAATTTAAGCCTGAGCACATTGTCCTGCAAACATTTGTTCCATTGTACTCTGTCTTCACCATCACAGTGTCAGATCCAAAAAAGCTTCACCTGCTTTATTCACTTTTGTCTTTTTACACCTGTTTGTGAATATACATACACCTATATAGGAACACATTTAAGTAAATGTGAAGTTATTAAATGAAAGGAATGACAGGGAGAATGAAACCTGGTTAAACAAGGTGATTTCAAAGCAGAGTCTAAATATAATGTCTTCTCTTTTTTTTCTTTTAATCTTTATTGTTAAAAGTATTGCATAGGTCCTCCTTTTTCCCCCATTAAACTCTTACAGCACACTCCAATCCTCCCTCCCACCACGACCAGGCCCTCACCATCCCATGCTCTATGTCCATGGTTTATGCACATATGCATACAAGTTTATTGGTTGATCTTCCCTCTGATATAAAGATGTATGAATTCAAATATGCTAATGGAAAGTAAAGGTAATCTGTGGACAAATATAAAAAAGAATGCCTTCCAGAGAATGGTAGAAGATGAGGCAAATTTTTGGAAATACAGCTAATGACAAAGGCAAAAACAATAAGGAATAGCAACTTGGCCATATATGTGAAGAGTGATATGTTAGTACCAACTACTCAGAACATTCACTTTCATTCTTGTTTTATACTAAGGATTCCAAAGTGAAGAATATAAAATTATCAGCTGACTCTTTCTCAGTAAGAAAAGTGAAAAATAAAAAATAAAAACAATGAAGAGAATACAGTATGGCTGAGTGATAGATTTGAGCCCATACTATTAATAAATACAATTCCCCACATACATATACATAAAGGTACTCAATGACAACAAAGTAAATGAAGAAAACCCTCCAATTCCTTGTTCAGGATAATGCAATGAAAAACAGGAGTAAAAACACTCTGACTCCACTACACAAATGTTAAGATTTGTACAGACAATTTACAAGAGAGAAAGCAAATGAGTAACCTACCCACAAGTATATTCAGGTCACAGGTAATGAAGTAATTGCAAAGTTAAGCTATTTAGCATACCTCTTTTTACTTATCAAATAAATATTTTCATGTGATTTGAATAACCGGAATGAAAGAAGATTCTGTGAAATGTATATCTTCCAAACTACTGTTGCAAGGGAGTATTTATAAGAAATATACTGGACCTGGGTCTTTTGAATAGACCTCATGGTAAAAATAAAGGAAAACTGACCTCAATTCACTGGACACTTTCCATCCCTAGTACTCTACTTTCCTATTACCTTTAGTTGCAAAAATAATTCTGTACATTCTACTTTTGCTTAAAATAATATGTGCCTCCCATTACCACCTCTAATTGGATTTCCATCAGATAATTGCCAACAGTTACCCATGTGTTGCTGAGTTCAATGTTCACTTCTCCTTTTAGCATCATAAACTAATCATTAATTAATCAGGCAAACTTTCAATCATAGGCTGATGGCTGTCAAGAGACCTTAGATACAAGTGCTTGGCTTTGACTCTCTCTGACCCTTTCCTCTAGTACCTACTGGACCTCTGGACTCACCTGATTGGGAACTCTGAGGGGAAGGTCTCCGTGGGAAAGTCCAACCTCCTGGATGGGTGATGGAGAAGCTCTCTGCACAGACAAGACAGCAGGAAGGAGGCAAGCATGGGTCTCCTAGACAAACTTATGATTCCAAAAGCAACAACAGGTCCCATCCTGCCCAAGGTCACACATGCTGAGAGACTGGAGATGAGGAGATATTTACAGCTTCCTATGTCTGCTCATTAGGTGGATTTCTCTCTTGTTACTCCGACTCCTAATCACTCAATTTTCCTGTGGGTCTGGACTGAAGGGAATATTTTCCTGGAGATTCTGTGTTCCCAAAAGACCAACATAGAAGTAAAGTTAATCGAGTTTTTACTAGTTCTTCCTCATAAAATCTGTTGCATTCCAGAGGATTAAACTCCCAGCACCTTATCCCAACCCTGATTTATTATAAGATATTTCTCATCTGGATTAGGAAACTTGAATCTCCAAATCTTGGCTGTGGTAAGGACACAGTCCCTGATTCTACATAAAATGGCTTTTTTTTTTTTTTTTTTTGGTCTTTTTAACAAGGGAAAGAACTAAATTTCTTTTATATAAACTTTGGTTGTTACACACTGGGCTTCATGACACATTAGCCAAAACAATTTGGCATTTCAACCTTATTTACAAGTTGAGAACTGTCACTTAGTCCCTCCCTATGAAAAATTCATTAATTATAAAGAATACTAGAGGCCGGGTGTACAAAATTCATGCACTGGGGAGAAGGGGGGGTCCCCTCAGCCCTGCCTGTACCCTCTTAATTCTGGGACTCCTCAGGGGATGTTCAACTGCCTGTCGCACCTAAACTGGCAATCGGATACCCCTCTCACAATCCAATATCACTGGCTCCTAATCGTTCTCCTGCCTGCCTGCCTGATTGCCCCTAACCGCTTCTATTGTATCTGCCAGCCTGATTGCCCCCTAACTGTTCCCCTGCTGGCCTGATCACCCACAACTGCCCTCCCCTGACATGACCCACCT